GAATGTGAGTGAATGAACGTCATACTGAATGCGTCAACATACATTTGAACATTGGCAATAAAACATGAGCTCTGGGAATCAGGAAATATAACGCAGGTTGCTAGCCTAAACTAGATGAAACAGTTAACCAACATGACATGTTTGGTAAGGTTAGCTAAACTATATTTTTGCCCAGACCAGATTCAAAACGTTGTCTTTATCCGAAGACCAGTTCTGTCTCATGGTGTTGTTCTCAGGGAATTCAGACTTGAAAAAAATTTGAATATTTCCCTTCATGTTTTCTGTGGTCTCCATGCTCACACGCCAAGTCGTGCTTATCTTGCCAAGTTAAAAAAATTCAACCATCACCTACTTGGAAAGAAGAGTCGCAAAACTAAGGCCCAGGCCACACGAGGACGATAACGGTCGTATCTGCTACAGTTCACTATCAGATAGATGGTTCGGCCACACGAGGCCGACATGGAAACGCAGAAAACGATAACGATAACGATAACGGGTCCCAAGGTGGGTAGATCTGCAAACGAAACGCTCTGGGGGGGCAAACGGCTCTGTGTTTACGCCTATACGATCATTTCCTGATAACGTTGAAGCAATAGCTCCGCCTCTCCCCACCTCTCCTGCTCAGAGATCAGCTGCTGGGCTGTCAGAAGAGGGGGAGGAAAAGAGAGGCTCCGTTTTTTATTATTATATTATTATATAGAGTCGTTATTCATTTGTTTTAAAGCTCAATAAATAACAAAGAAGACCTTTGACCAGCACTTTTCTAATTTTGTCCGGAAGATTTAAACTTTAACGGACATGTTGACCGGCGAAAAAAAATCTAACTGAAACTCTCCCGCACGGTCCCCTCGTCCCTTGGAAGTGGGTGTTTTTCATCTGCTGGTGGACTAACCGGAGAGAATTACAGCAGGAGCAAATGCTTGCCTCGGGGAGGGAGAAAAAGAGCCAGAGCATCCACAGCGGAGAATAAACAGAAGGGCAACCATGGCAACCATGCACGGGAAGTCTTCTTCGCTGCTTTTGTGGCAGGAGTACAGCGCCACTTACAGGCCCGGCATATGTACTACAGCGTCTCCAGCGCTTTCGAGCGGTCTCGTGTGAACGGACACGTTTCTGGTGCCTATTGCGTGTGGATGGAAGACTTTTTTGATATCGATTTCGGTCCGTTTGCGTTATCGTCCTCGTGTGGCTCCAGCCTAAGTGTTTTCCTTGGTATTCGCCCTATCTCTCATTGATGTTCCAACCTAGCTAGGTGTTGTGGTGGCTAACGTATCTATCTTGAAAGAATGGAAACAGCAGCAGCAGCAGCATGTTCTTGCTTGTTATGCAGGCAACCAGCAGAGACTTCAGGAAGTCACTGTGTCAGGCCAAGGCAACATAAACCCCTGTTAAACCACAAAGTGTCTTTTTTACTGATTGAAGCGGTTTTTCTGTTTCCAGTCTCTCTGCAAAGCAAGAGGCAGTAGCTAGCTTAGAAAGTGAATGTCCCAAAATGTCAAAGTGTTGTTTTAATGACACTTCAGCCTAATGATAGTCATTCACAATCACTGTTTTAACAATATGATTCAGTCATGCACAAATGAATCAGATATGTAATGTACTAACAGAAAGATTGACCAGAGAACAGGGAGAATAAGTTGTTAAAGAAGCATTTAAGGTCCCTTACTGCTTTTCTGTGAACCACAAAACTTTATTTGAAAAGTGCTTTATAGAAAAATATTGAATTATTTATTTATATAGTATTTAATGATGGATAACTTCATGCTTACTATTAAAGAACATTTACTCAAGCACTGAAATTCAGCACAATTTTGAGAGACTTGTACTTTCCTTGAGTATTTTCAAATTATGCTACTTTATACTTTTACTCCACTACATTTTAGAAGACAAAATAGTACTTTTACTGCTCTACACTTATTGTACAGCCTTAGTTACTAGTTACTTTACAGATACAGATTATTAGAGAATAAAATAAAAATATAAACCATTAAAGGTGGGGTAGGTAATTTTGGAGAAACCAGCTTGAGTGCGCTAGAATTTGAAAATACACAACTGGAAAAAATCTGCCACTTCCTTACAGAGCCCCTCCTCCAACACACACGAACGCGCACATGACCAATGAGGGCACGAGATAAGTTTGTGCACAGATGGAAGGCTGACAGGCAGGTAGGCCATCCAGTTATTTTAGCCGGGCCAGCTAAAATGATTGGTCGTGCTTTTTACAGTACTACGGCTTCCACAGATGAATTATTTTTATGGATTTTTTGTCAAAGCACTTTAGATATTTATTGCTATCGGGATGTTAAGAGCATTCCATGGAATATAACAAAAAGTGTATCTCGAGCCGGTTTCTCAAACTTACCTACCCCACCTTTAATGAATAAACATAGTCATATAATGATTGGTTAAAATATCCAGGAGCATTACAGTATATAGAGAAGGTAAAACTAGCTCCAGCTTTATCAGCTGTGATGAACACATGCATAATCATATTGCAGTCATTTATGATATATGATGGGCTATTTTCCATAACAAGTAGTTTAAGTACATTTGGATGATAATACTTTTGTACTTTTACATAAGTAAGATTTTGTATGTAGGACATTTACTTGTAACAGAGTATTTAAAACATATGGTGTACTTTCCCATAGCTGACGGTAAACAGCATATTCATAAAATAGTAGGTTTTTCATTCTCCTAAAGTACTTAAACATCTTAATTATACTTGAGGAACTTAGAGAAGGATTGAATGCTAGCAATAATATTTGTAATCAGCTGTGTATTAATTTACAATAACGAGAAGTAAAGACAAAACTATGCTACAGTACTTTAGGTGTATATATATATATTTCTTTCCACGTATTGTGCCTTTAAGCCCTTTAAAAGAATAATGACATTTTTACAATATCAGTATAAAGCAAAAAAATCCAGCATGAAATACTGAAGTCTTTGTAAGATAACAAATAATCAATCATTTAATTAGTGTATTGATAGGCACTAAATCAATGTGTTTGTTTATGTGTTGTACTGTTTATGTATCTATCGGTTGAGACTGTGGATAAATGTGTCACGCACAGCAGGACTAGGTAGACACTGTGTGGCATTAAACAGAGAAAATTGGCACACTGGTCAAAATAGCATTCAAACCACAAGGGTGAAGGAACAGAGCAGGAGCTAGAACTACCAGGAGGAAAATAAATATCCTGCTCACTCCAGAATATACCTATTTATATATAATCCCTGAACAATTGTGCAGTGTCACTAAATCTGTGCACCTTTTATAGACATAAAGACTACATGCCCTACATAGAAAACTCAAACATGACATGTCTAATCTTCAGACATACATCACTGTGCCACAGCTGTGACAAGTTAATCACTCTAGACATAATGTTAGGATCTCCTTTTCTTTTGTCACATTTTTTAACAGAAATGCACATGGAGCAACAGCATTCACAAAAAATATGCAAGCTACACCACTGACAGAATGTAGGCTTGGATTCAACTTAACTGCTCATTTCAACAGCAGGGACTGATCCATTATGCATCAAATAATCGGTGGGTTATATTTGGCTCTTTGCCTGAGAGTCTTGGTTTGACCAAATAAGAGGCCTTCCATGCTTTTCACAAACAGCAGGGCCATTACGAGCCAAACAAATAAGCTTTGCAAAATGGGTTACACAGCCTGTCTGCATCCCCTCATCCTCTGCATGTTTCACTGATGTAAACAGCCAATAGGGCCCAAAAGTGGCCTTGCAATGCCTCTGTGGAGCTTTCACAGCTTGAAATGCAGGGCTAGCTTCCCTGATACTGGGTAGGGAATGCCCTGATGTCGCCTGATGTAAAATAGCAAAGCAGGGAAAAGACTGAGAAGAGGGGCATCACAGAGAGTCACTTTGTTTTGATGTTGGATATATATATAGAAGGATCCAGTTAACAGGCCTGACAGTCCATACTGACGGTTTGTAGCCATCCGACTAATTGATTGCCTGCATCGTCTGCCTAGTAAAGTGTCTGTTATAGTAAAAATGTCAAAATGAACCGATACCAAGGATTTATTACAACATCGGTACATTTGGCCTAATGCAATGCGCAGAGGCCTCCTCCTCACAGCAGCTGTTGGAAACGAGCTGCCTGCTGGAGGTTGAAACCGTTGTTGAGCTCAGGGCACATACAGATCTGAATGGAGTTGAACCGGTTGCTTCCAGTCTGGAAAAAAATGATTTACGAATTCTGGAAAACACTGCTAGAACACTGACAATGAAATCACGCGAGAAACACAACAATGCCATTTTTATTCTATTTTGGTGCTTGCTGTTGACAAAAGCTTAACAAATGCAGCATTACCCATCAATACTAGCTACATTGTAATGTGCTAACAACAAGTTTGGCTCGTGTCCATCTTGTAGCCATAGCTGGTAGCCAGCTTATCCTACTGTTTAGTTAAATACAACAGCTAGGTGAGCTAACGTTAGCTGGTTAGCCACAAAGCTAACTACTGTATTTGCTCAACATATAGCTTGCTGTTAGCTAACTCCAGTGTGTTAAATACCACTAGTTAGCTAAGGTCTATGCGTCGTTACTGATGCCAATGTCCCCCATCAGCACAACTATGGGACACGTCAGTGACAGTTAGTTTACTGCAAACAAATAACGTCATAAACGGTATATAAACAAAGGAGGGTCGTGTGGTAAAATGTGTATTTCAGTGTGGTGGTAATAAGACCAACTGTCAGGGTTAACGAGTTCACTGTCACCCATTTGGACATTCCTCTGCTCATTTGTGAAACAAAGCAAGGTTAGAGGACAGGAGAGGCAGCTCAGACTAGATTTACCAGGAGTGCGCACACATACACAATCAACATAATCGCATACTGTGTGCGTGAGAGTGAGTGAGTGAGATAGAGACCCCCCCTCCGCAACAACACAGTGACAGATTTGAGACCCTCTGCTGTTGTCACAACTTGTTCATGCCATCGGGGCTGAACCAGCTCTCTAACCTTTGTAATGGACCCGCAGGTTGTTCTGTGACAGCCCAATGTAGCTGTATTTATCCTTGGGGCTCCAGGATCGGGGTAAAGGGGTCTCTTCCTCGTTCACAGCCGGGTAGAGCCGCTTCAGCCTCTCGTTTAGCTCGTGTTCCTGGTAATTAAAAGCAGGATCCCCTAACGGCAGGCTTCCCGCTCCAAGCTCTGCCATTTTGGCCTCTGTTTTGTATCTTATTGTTCGTGTCTTTCTATCCAAAGCCCCGTGTCAGTCCGCTTGAGCTGTAGGCTGAGAGTGAGAGAGACTGAGAGGAGAAAATAGCAGCGGTGTGACATCCCCGGATAAGCAGCAGTGTACTGTAGGCTGGAGCAGTGCCGTCTGGGTACTGTAGTTTAGCTGCATGCTCCCTTGTATGATACTGTCTCTAGAAATGACTACACAGCCCCACTGCTGTTATCCTGGTTCAGACCTTCCACAGAGACAGGGAGCTAGGACATATAGTCCGTTTTTAGAACATTATATAATATAATTCTTAATCTCCAATTGTATCCTTATGTGGCACGTGTATTTGAGAAAGTGGAACATAGGCATACATATATTTGCGAGCTAGAGGATAGCGTTGGTAGCACTTTCCAGAACGAAAACAAAGTTTATATTGTTTGCAAAATATGCCTACTCTAAAAGACACGTTTGTTTTCAATCATGGTGATTTTATATTATGCTATGCCATAACCTCTAAATTACAATACGTATTAGGCCTATACATATTGGAGATTGTTGTTTTTGTGTGATATTTACAAAGTAGGGTTGGCTGTTTTAATCATGTATGCTATTGGAACAAGTCAGGACTGATGGTTTGTACGACACACATTTATATGTGAAAGCTGCAGTTTCTTTTGGTTTGAAAGTGTTTCTTTCGTCTCTATTTAGGAGGAAAATCTTTATTTTTACACAGTTTGAAATTCAGCCAGGCGCACTGCGGTCTACTATGTGGGTCCTGCTGGGTGCCCCGTCGTCGTTACCATGGAAACCTTGTTACAACGTTGTGAGCTGTGATGCTAGAGCCAACCTGGAGCTAAAGGCTTTAGCTTAGCTAAACGGACCAAATATAGACATTTCAAAAGGACAGAAACTTAAAAAAATATATATTTAGACTTCATACAGTCGCTAGAGATGTTGCCACATAAAGATGTTACATTTCCACCTTTAACGCCGTCAAAAACACAAAGGCAAGTGATTTTAAAGATTGTCCTACAGCAACAATATTAAAGGCTACTATTAATATGGATGATATTAATATATATTTCTTCTAATAATTGTAAGTTACATTATAGGTAAAGCTCATGAGTTCAAAATGTTACTTAAGTAAAAGTAGTCAAATATTATCAGCAAATTGTACTTAGAGTATTAAAATAAAAGTACTTATGATGCTGAACGGCTTTTTTTTTAAGTGTTGTTTTATTTTTGAATACTATAAAGTTATATTTGTATCACTAACAAATGCATATAAAAGCTTTTTATGTTGTTATTTTGCAATGTATGGAAACGTTTGGATACCTTGTGGACTACTGAGTAGATAAGTAGTATATAACACAACATGTTATTAAGGTCAAAAGTAACTAAGTGTAAGTGAATAAAGTAGTGTAGTAGAAATATACAGTGGCAGAAAAAAAATATATATATATATACATACTCAAATAAAGTGCAATTATCTCAAAATGTATACTAAAGTACTTGGGTAAATGTAGTTCCACCATTGCTTAGCTCTGTGGTTTTCTATTATAGACTGACATTTGACCAGAGACTACAATATGACGTTATCCAGACATCAGAGGAAGGACAAGAAGAAAAGGCTGGAGCTGTTTCTGTCCAACCTGCTGTGAGAAAGGTAACGAGAAACAAAGCAGGGAGCAAACAGCTTCATCAAACCATCAATCCTTTTCCTCATTAAAAACCTACTCTATTTCGGGCCTGCCATTAAATATAATTATGATTATCGAATACCGAAAGACAGTCGTTTTATTATGATATAAAACAGAAAAATCTGAAAAACCTCCTCATTAGAGAGGCAGAGAATAGCATTTTCTAACATATTTGTATTACTTTACTGATTATATTAAAATAGTCCATATTGGTTTCCTTGTAAATCAATCAACCATTAGTCAACTATGCAATGTAACCAGAAGTACAAGAGAACCAGTAAAGTGCAGTGTAATGTATCTGTATAATATAAGTATATTAATATAACAGATATAATTATATTATATATTATGAACAGTTTAAATAGGTATTAAACACTGAAATGTATAAATATTGAATACACTGTAGAGGGTGTAGAAATGGACAGTATTAATATATATTGCAAATATTAATACACTTTAGACCAGTATTGACACTTTTTATAGAAAATACGGATACATATTGGTCCACTGTAGATTAACATATGAGACGTATGGACAGTTATATGCATAGAAGTAACATGACTAATGGGGGGGAGAACAAGTATTTTAAAGTTTGATTGAGTCACTAAAGCTGTGTGTGTGTGTGTGCGTGCGTGCGTGCATGCGTGTGTGCATGCGTGTGCGCGCACGCGCGCGTGTGTGTGTGTGTGTTTGTGTGTGTGTGTTAAATGTAGTGCTGGACAGGTAGCAGTTACATGTATGCCGGCCCAGGGAGGAAGCCTCAGCTCCTGAAGCAGCTGGAGAGCTACGTTCACAAGGAGCTGCAGATTATCAGCTCGCCTGAGCCTCAGTTTCAGGAACAGAGACTACAGGTGCTTTGTTTTCCTGTTTTGTAGGAAGGTTGGCTACATTAAAACCAGAGGAAATACTGTACACACACTTTAGTCCAGGAGAGTAATCCCATTATCTTAATCTGACCACAGGTCTACCGAGATGCCTTTGGTTGTTTCATCAAAGAGTTCAAAACCTACCAACCCCTTCTTTCTGCCATCAAGAGGGAATATGAAAACACTTTAGGTCAGTATCTGTTAATAAGTCTGCCTCATCATTTTCCTTTCTTAAGAAGGATTATACTCATAGTATAGCACTTTTCTGAATGGTGTCCTTTAGTGCTATAGAATAAAAGGAACAAAGCAGCCTTTGATAAATGAGGAAACAAAGAATCTGTTATAAAAAAGGAAAACTACTTATTGGGGAATTAGATAGCATTTCCACAAGGACAGAGCTGGTTAATTTGGTTTACATTGTAACTGCTGCATCCACTTTAGCCAGCATTTTTTTAAGTGGCAATCTGGGTTAATGACCGAAGGGCTATGGGAATAAATAGTTAGTGGCTACAAATAATTGTTCGCAGACTTAAAGAAATGCCCTTGATTTGTTTTATAAAGTTGTAGACAGTTTATAATGAAGTGACTGGTTGCATCTAAGCTACATTGAAAGGGGACATGCTATGAAAAATGTACATTTATTTATTTGGAGTTCCTACCAACCCATCAACTTTGAAACAAGACGAACCAGACTGTTTCTGTGGGTTCCCTCTGTCAGAAAACATGGGATTTAAAAAACGTTTCTTATTTCATGATACATGTAGGCTGTCTAAAATATATCATATCTTCCCATCTAAGTATCTCCAGGCATAGCTTAAGAACTACATTTGTTAAGGTGCACCATCTTTTTGCAGCCAATCAAAGCAAACTGTGACTGTGAAAGAGGGTGAATAAAGGTATATTGAAGCTTTTAGACCATTAAAGTCTGTAAACAGGTTTTTGTAGGAACCCAAAATTCAACTTTGCACCACAATGAGCATAAAACATCCTATATTTTCAGTGTTCAGTGAAAGTTGCATAAAAATAAAGCAATATAAAGCGTATTGTGCTGCAAATAAGTTGACTAAAATATAACAACTTAGCTAAGCGCACATTCAGGTAAAGTTGTGCTTTTAATTTGGCAGGTTGATTACAAATATGTCTGCACCAGTTGGAAATGTGAAATCATTTTTTTAATCATGTTTCATTTGGATCTGTAGCTCTAATATATTTTTGTTGTTGAATAATCGATCAGTTATTTATTTTGTGTATCCGTTTAGCCTTTAAAATGTTTAAAATATTAACAAATGCCCATCACATCTCCGCAGATAGGTATTACAAATCTCAAAAAATTATCCAGCCCTTCTGTTTCATGATAAATCATTTGTTGCATTTGATATCTGTTCAGCATATCAGCAGGATCAAATCAGAGAACTGGAGCCGCTGCGGTCCCATGTGAGGTTGGTGACAGAGGAGTGTGAGAGGAAGATCCAAGCTCGCTGGGAAGAGGAGCGGAGTGAGATCAGAGCTCTGAAAACGGAGAAGCATCAACTTCAGAGGGTCATAGAGGCCATGAAGGAGAAGGAAACAGCCACACAGGCAGTGGTACATGACTTACCTGGTGTTCTGACCATTCATTATTCATGTGACTTTTTAAGGACTGCGACTTGTGGGACACATTTTCACATCAATTCCTTCTCTAAATAGTATTGTCAATATTAGTTTGATGTGCTGTCTTGCTCAATTAAATCAAATAAAATGTAATTTTTATAGCTCAAAACTGCAAAACACATTAGATAAGGGGCTTTACAATTTGTACAATACGGTGGCCCTGAAGTGCAAGACACCACAGCATTTCACAAAACGCCGCCGCATTTCACAAAACGCCGTGGCGTTTCAGAAAACACTACAGCATTTCACAAAACGCAACAGCATTTCAGAAAACCCACAGCATTTCACAAACGCCACAGCATTTCACATTGGACGGAAAGGGTATTCCTTTATGGAGAACACTTCTTGTTTGTGATTGGACAGAGCCAGAGAAGCACTGCTGTGATTGGTTGTTTTTGCTGCCAGTCAAGAAATGACGCTTCGTGATTGGTGTCAGCTGTGTTTACTCCTGTCATTCAAACAAGACGCGCTGGAGAGGGGGCGGGGCGTATCTCCATGTAAATCCTATGGGAGATACCAACTACAACAAAATGAACATATTTTACCGTGATTTAATTGTAATACACGTTTCAAAATGATGCCGAAGTAACTACATACTGATAACGGTTAGTAAAAACCATGAATTAATGCTTTGACAAGTCTGCAGACAGACGGCAGGCGAAAAACCTTTTAAAATGCGTGTTTTCTGAATGGAGATCGGATCGATCAGGCTAAACTAACCTGTAGCTGCTCCGTCCACACTCATAATAATAATAAATAATAATAGATTTATTTTGTTAGCGCTTTTACAGGTGCTCAAAGACGCTTTACAGATATAGTGAAAAGAAAAGTACAACAAATAAATATATATAGTTAAAGTTAAAGTCAAATAATACAAAAACAATCACACATTAAAAACCAGATTGAAGAGGTGAGTTTTTGTGAGTTTTTTGAAGGTGGTGAGGTCAGGGCAGTCTCTGATGGGTTGTGGGAGTGAGTTCCAGAGGGAGGGGGCAGCGACGGAGAAGGCTCTGTCCCCCCAGGTCCGGTGATTGGTGCAGGTGGGGATGGATAGGAGGTTGGCTTCTGATGAGCGGAGGCAGCGGGAAGGGGTGTGGTGGCAGGTCTGTGAGGTAGGGGGGGGGCCTGATTGTTGAGGGCTTTGTGAGTAATCAGGAGGACTTTGAAGTCCTACAACAACGTCATACAGACATAAATAAAGCAGCAACTGTATTCGCCATCTGTGGTTTGTACATGTTTAACTTTTGTCCAGTTTCTGAACAGATATGAGGAGCTGTGAGCTCTGAGTGTGTGCGGGTGCTGACCAATCACGAAGCGTCATTTCTTGACTGGCAGAAAAAACAACCAATCACAGCAGTGCTTCTCTGGCTGGCTCTGTCCAATCACAAACAAGAAGTGTTCTCCCTAAAGGAATACCCTTTCCGTCCAATGTGAAATGCTGTTGTGTTTTCTGAAATGCTGTAGTGTTTTCTGAAATGCTGTTCTGTTTTCTGAAATGCTGTTGTGTTTTCTGAAATGCTGTGGTGTCTTGCACTTCAGGGCCACCGTAGTACAAATATGGATGACAGTATAGAAAAACTAAATGCAAAATTACAACATAGACAACTCTTTTGACATAATGATAATGTGAATTTAAAGCAAATAAAGTAAAATAAAATAAAAGCCTTTTACACATGTAAGTCAAAGCTATTTATGCCCAAATGCGGAGATCCCTTTGTCAAAAAAAAAAGTATTGACTGCTATTTAATTTACACAAGCGTTCAGTGGTTTATTATCATGATATTGTCTCAGTCACTCCACTTTCTTCTGCTCTTTCCCAGGTGGAGCGTCTGCAGTCTGATCTCTCAGCTCAGTATCTGCAGTACCGGGAGCAGCGTGATGCCCGCCAGCTGCTGATCTGGCAGATCAACGACCTCACAAGAGGCTCTGTGGAGGAGGAGCATCCAGCAGATGGAAACTCAGGTGGAGCTGCAACCATTCCATTCCACTCTATTGACATCATGATAATGTGATGGCAGGCGCCATCTTACCTTAAAGAACTCATTATACCCTACTGTCCAACTAGGGCATTGCGTTCCAAGAATGCAGGGTTGTTGGTTGTTCCTAGAGTCTCTAAAAGTACAATGGGAGCCAGAGCCTTTTCTTTTCAAGCTCCACTTTTGTGGAATCAGCTTCCAGTTTGTGTTCGGGCGGCAGGCACCCTATCTGTTTTTAAGAGTATGCTTAAGACCTTCCTTTTCGATAAAGTTTATAGTTGATAAAAGAATCTAATAAGAGTGCATTGACGTAGACACGTTGTGCCTCTTCACCTATACATCTTAGTTCTTACTCTTTTTCCTTACTGATGGCATAATTTGGTTGTGTGTGTAGACGGTGGAAGCAGGGAGAGGCATATACGTGCCTTGATCCCTGCCGAGTCGACGCACAACTGTTGATTGGTGTCAGTGCCAAAAACACTTTTTAGGAGCAATGTGCTCATGGTATAGATGTGGTGCATACATCTTAGTTCCTACTCTTTTCCCTCACCCTATCCTAAGGGAGTGCATGTACGTAGACATGTTGTGCCTCTCCACCTCTGTTCCTTAATTCTTACTTGCTACCCTTTTCCCTCAACCTATCCTAAGGGAGTGCATGTACGTAGACACGTTGTGCCTCTCCACCTCTGTTCCTTACTTCTTACTTGCTACCCTTTTCCCTCAACCTATCCTAAGGGAGTGCATGTACGTAGACATGTTGTGCCTCTCCACCTCTGTTCCTTAATTCTTACTTGCTACCCTTTTCCCTCAACCTATCCTAAGGGAGTGCATGTACGTAGACACGTTGTGCCTCTCCACCTCTGTTCCTTACTTCTTACTTGCTACCCTTTTCCCTCAACCTATCCTAAGGGAGTGCATGTACGTAGACATGTTGTGCCTCTCCACCTCTGTTCCTTACTTCTTACTTGCTACCCTTTTCCCTCAACCTATCCTAAGGGAGTCCATGTACGTAGACACGTTAGTTTTGCTGCTATAGGCTTAGACTGTCGGGGAACACCTTACTTCTTCCTTCTTCTTGTCTGTACCTGTGTACTCTCATGTTCCGAATAACCCAGCTTCCCCCAAATTTCTTTTTGGTGTCTATCTACGCCGGGATCCTGAGCCGTGGCTGATCCTGTTGCTGCGGTCCTGTGTCCTGGATCCTGAATCATGTGTCCTGGATCCTGCATCCTGAGTCCTGGATCCGGAGTTCTGGATCCTGAATCATGTGTCCTGGATCCTGCATCCTGAGTCCTGGATCCTGTGTCCTGGATCCTCTATCCTGAGTTCTGGATTTGAGTCGTGGCTGAACCTATCACTGTGGTCCTGCCTGACTCTCATCATACTACTTCCCTGATGGCTCCCACAGGATTGTTGACATCCTCGTGGATTCATCTTCTTATTATAGACACATGCATTTCCAAACATTTGGTCTACCTATGCTGTAAAATGTATTATCTCTTCGATTTACACACGGCATCTATTGCACGTCTGTCCGTCCTGGGAGAGGGATCCCTCCTCTGTTGCTCTCCCTGAGGTTTCTCCCATTTTTCCCTTTAAACTGTGGGGTTTTTCTCTGGAAGTTTTTCCTTTTACGGTGTGAGGGTCTAAGGACAGAGGGTGTCGTATTGTCATACTGTCTGTACAAACTGTGAAGTCCACTGAGACAAATGTAACATTTGTGATATTGTGCTATATAAATAAACATTGATTGATTGATTGATTGATTCCCACTCAAATAATCGATACATCAGAAAAATGATTTGGGAAAATAATTTGAAGTTCATTTCTTCTTTTAAGATCTCTCTGGTTGCAGCTTTTCTATCCTTATCCTATTGCTAATCTACTATTTCCTGTTTCATTAGTCCTTTGTCCCTAAGCCTTGGGATGTAATGTATAGGCCTATGTCACACTTCCGGAATGTAAAAAATCGCAGAGTGGTGTACACCTACTTCCGGTAGTTACCCTAGTTACGTGACAAACGTAATGTGCAACCATCTTTTGACATTGGACTGACCAAATTATTAACTGATTAAACAAAGAAATATCAGACAGATTAATCAATAAGAAAAACCATATTGTTATTGGCTTGAATTCTCAAAATGTGGTGTCTAAATCTACAAAATCAGCCAAAAATGTAGATATTAGAAATGAAACAATCTGTTAATCTATTTGTCTGTTGTCTCCGGGAGTCTTACACCAGAGGAGTGGACCCTAACCTTACATAAGAGTGAAAGAACTGAATGAGCACTAAACTTTTAGAATTAAAATATGTTACAATCAAAGTTAATATGAACAGTTGGTAAAATAAAGAAGTGTTATAAGAGGCTTTGAGAGTCTGGATATTTTTTGTTTAGGTACCTTAAAAGATGATGACAAAGTGTTTAGATTTCACTATTAAAAGCTATACAAACCTTTCTTTCGTTTCTCTTGGCAAGAAAGCAAATTCGAAAAAACATATTGACTGAAAAATAGCTAAGCACAACACCCATTTATGTTGGGAATTTCTAAATATACCAAATACCTTTACTATAAAATGTTAAAAGTTAAGAATATTTTGTTCTGAATTTTAAATCTTATTGTGGAATCAGATGCTAGGGACCCAGTGCAGCTGCAGCTCTCTCTGAAGGTGTGCCGGAGAGACCTGACCACAGCTCAGGAGGAGCTCACCAGGATGAAGGCAGAGTACTGGGACGTGGTGCCGAGGCGCAACTGGGACGCCCTGGAACAAACACACCAACAGAACCTCTCAAAGGTAACCCATAAAGACACACACTTTACTATACACACACACTACACACCCGCATGGACACAGAATGCTTGATTTAAAATGTTTTCACCTTGTTCTTGTTTTCTTTGTGTCCAGATGCAAACGCTGCAGAGTGACTTTGATCAGCTGAAGAGAGAGCATGACATCCTGCTGGAGCTCCACAAAGAAGGCAGCATGCAGAACAAGACTAATGAGCCCAGCACCCAGCAGGTACTTTATAATACCTGTAGGAGCCACATGTAAGGTTTATGTATTTTATGTTTATTATTTAATATTTTGCACTTATTATTTGTGTTCACTGGAGCTGGGGTGGTGATGGTAGTTGAAATACCCGATTGCTTTCACCTGTTATCACTTTTTGGCATTTACAGAGAGAGGGGGTGAGCCTGGGAGTGATATTTTCTGTTGACCACACTCACATACAGAACTTTATAATTAGGATACTGGAACCAATTGTATTTTCTTGTTTGTTGAGGAATATATGGTAAATTTGTTTTGTTCCTTTACTGCTTTTTTTCCCGGACTACAGTCTAATACCTATTAGATCAAAATAGAGCACATTATGTTGTTATCAAGTTGTACGGATAAATAAATAGATAAACAAAACAAAACAATAGTTGGCAATCCCTAAAGACCCCAAAAGAGCCAAAACATTTGTTTACACTTATTGAATGGAGACAGTTAGCTTAGCTTTAAGGCTGGGAACAAGGAACTCCAGCCTGATTCTGTCCAAAGGGGAACCAAAGATTTATTTTTAAACATATAAAAATATAACTTTGGACTGATGAAAGTCATTTTTTGGAACCATTTAGTAGTTAGGGTTTGATTAATTTTAGATTAGGTGTTTTGTTTTTTTAGCTTGTAACATAGCTGTATAATATATAAACTCTCATATTTTAGATGTGTACGTAATTTATAATGCAAATACTTGGCCCCTAATCTAAAGCTTCAGATTTATCAAGGTCCCATTTTACATAACTCCGTCTTAAATTATTATTATTATGTCTTATGATTGTACACTGAAAAATATGAATCATTGACTTTAATTAAATGTATTATGTTAACAGATGTCCCATAACTGTATCAGGTTAGTTGAAAGCAATAATATGAAGTTTAAATACAAAATATCAGGTTCAACGTAATATTATTGCTTTCAACTAACCTAATACAGCTATGTGAAGTTTGTTAGTTATAATATATATAATTAAAGTCAACGTTTCAGTTTTTTGTACTTTTAAACTGTTTTTGAAAAATATTTATTTCATTTATAAAACTTTGGATGGAGCCAAGCTAGTTGTGTCACCCTGTATCATAACTTAGGCTAAGCTAAACTAAGCTAACCATAACTTGGCTCCAGTTTCATGTTGAACTGACAAGCAGGCACTAGTATTGATGTTCTTAAAAATAATCCCAAAATGTTGACGAGTTGCTGCTTTTTGTTTTTCAGAAGGATGAGAGTGTATCTCAAGAGCAAAACCAGGTTGAGTCCGACCACCTGAGCGACCTGATCGACTCTGAGTCCCCTGAGAAGAGCACGCTCACTGTCCAGGAGTTTAGGTAAAATAAATAGATGCACACTGAAGCACATGCAAATATAATTCAATCATTTTCATTTACAGTATAGAGCCTAAAGGGCGTTACTCTGTACAATGTATGCCAGCCACGATTGCGATAAAAAAAAAAAAACGTTGCGAAATCAACTCTTTAGCAGAATTCATTTTTTCTCTGTTAAAAGAGAATGTTTTGTGTATATGCATGTATGTACAGTGTGGTGGAATTTAACCAATAGAAACTAACACGTACTTTTAAAATGGTGAGGAAACCTTCCTGTTATACTGAAATGAAGATTCTTCAAATACAACAGTCTTTTAAGGAGTTTATTCTTGCAAGATGGTAACAACGTTACAGAATGTCGAGCAGTCTGCATTGAAGTACAAAAATCAGGAGGTCTGCAAAGGGTCTTATATTCACATTTTCAGACAAAGAATAGAAAACATACCAGTCTTTTTTTTACCACACCTGCTAGCAACAGGAGAGACATCATGTCAACATTCCCTAAAAGGAGAAGGCCACCAACCTGACAATAATAAATAGAGCAAACATTATTTACGACTCATGTAGGTTAGGACATATTTACTGTTACCTTTAAGCCATTTTATTAGAAATAGCTTGACAAGAAGAACACATGGTAAACTTTCGATGCTCACTAAGAATGATAAAATATCCCATAACAACAGGATGGCCCTGAGGACAGCGTTCCCTCTGAAGTCAGATGAGGAAATAAATGAACTTGTGACCTCGGCTCAGAGCGATCCAGATGGCAGCGATGACTCCATCTCCTCTCAGAGACTCCACAGCCTGGTACGTGCCAGCACTGTTTTTTCACAATCATTTGAGTTTATTCAAAGAATGTGTTCCATATCTCGAATCTGAGCAATTAACCTCAGCCTTTCTCTCTACCGGCACTGGAGCTCTTGATTTTGTTGCTCCCCTGAAACTCATGCGCCCCAGAGCTAAATCTGAACCCTGGCTCAATGACGTCACTCGTGCTGCCAGGCGTGAGTGCCGGCAGGCTGAGCGCAGGTGGAAGAAGGACAAGCTTCATGTAACTCATGACATTTTAAAAGAGAGTTGGAGAAAGTATCAGAGCATTGTAAAAGCTGAAAAGATTAGTTATTTTTCTGATATTATTTCTAGTAATTTAAACAAACCTCGTGTTCTTTTTAAAACCATTGATGCTATGTTAAACTCTCCTTTATCCACTTGTATTGAAGCTTCAACTGAGGTATGTGAAACATTTCTCTGCTATTTTATAGACAAGATCTCCACTATTAGAGCCTGTATCTCACCACCCTCTTTTGACCCCTCCATTGACATCACATGCACTGCTGTTTTCCAGCAGTTTGGACCTGTGTCGTTGTCATCTCTTAGTGACATTGTTGTTCAATTAAAACCCTCATCTTGTCCCACAGACCCAGTCCCTCCTCGACTTTTTAAAGAGATATGGGACACTATTGGATCTAATGTCCATACAATTATAAATAGCAGCCTAGAGTCTGGTTACAGTGCCAGTTTATTTTAAACAAGCGGTTGTGGCGCCCCTGATAAAAAAAACCTAATCTGGACACTTCTGTCTTCTCTAATTACAGACCCATCTCGAAGCTTCCTTTTATTTCAAAAATCTTGTAGAAAACCGTACTCTTACAGCTGCAGTCTTTTATACATGCACACAATATTTTTTATATTTTTCAGTCCGGTTTTAAAGCGCTTCACAGTACTGAGTCTGCCCTTCTAAGAGTATTCAATTACCTCCTGGTCACTACAGACTCTGGTGACTCTGCCATTCTTAAAGTGGACCTATCATGCTATATTTTAATAATATAGTATAGGACCATACCTATATAAGGCATATTTATACTTATTTATACCAAACAGATCATGCATTTTAGCCATGCCTCATTTTGCTCAATTTGAAAAATGTTAGCTCTGTTTTTGCAAGGGCTGATTATGTGAGAACAGCACCATCTACTGGCCTGGCATATGGACTACAGCGTCTCCAGCGCTTTCGAACGGCAATGGCCGTGGCTGTCTCCTCCTGATTGGTGGAGTTGGCCCAATAGCCGTAGTGCCACCGTCCTGACGTCAGGACAGTGTTCAAATCTGGATCAGTTTTTATCAGATCCGTTGCAGCCCCTTTTTTAGAGATTTGGGTATGGAGGAAAATAGAGAGGGTTGTGTTTTCTGACACTTGGTGAGTTCCCTGGAACACCGGGGACACATATTCATGTATAAAAGACGTACAAAGGTGCATTTTGCATGATAGGTCCCCTTTAAGCTCTTAAGGCCCAGACACACCAGGCCGATATCGGCCGTCTTCGGTTGTCTGGCGACAAAGCGTGCCCTGTCGCCCAAAGTCAATTTGGTGTGTCCCGAACCCTCGGCCGTGACACGCCTTATTTGGCCTTTCACGGTCGACATTTGTCAGACACAAGCTATCGGGCCAAGAAACCACTCTGATCAGCTGTTCAGCTAGCAAATGAGAAGCGAAACGGAAGTGAGGGACGTAAACAAACGATTTAAGAAGGCACAGGACAGCAGCTAAACCCCAGCAGGTGATACTTAAAGACATCAAACATAGCCCTTAAATGTCCTCTCTTACCTCCCACACATAGCAGGGACATCTCTGATATCGGCGGGAGCGTCCCCGGCTGTCCTCTGCTGAGAGCTCCGTGATTTGTTTGGTCAAGTCCGGCTTTTCATCTCATCGGTTTATTTGTCAGTATAAAGTTGCAGGATTAGTCTCAAGTACCTCAACATTGTCCTTAAGTACAGTGTCTAAGTAAATGAGATACTGTCTACTGCTGTTCATTTACCTATTGTGAGTCGCCTCGGATAAAAGCATCACATGGAAATGTAAATGTAGCAAGAAGTGGCCATTATTACATTACATACATTACTACATTGCTGACTCAATAAACTACACACCCGCCAGAACACTGCGATCATCAGATGCAGGTTTATTAACTGTGATTTTATAGTATGTCTGCACTTTATGTGCTCATTTCATCATTCATGTATTTTTATATTCTAAAACATGTTTTCGATGGACGAGAGTGAAAATGGAACGCACACTCTATTTGTTGTTTGTTTATATCAGTCTGTTCTTCTTCTCTGTCTTCCGGTTGTTGCCTATTTTGAATGACGAATACACACTACCGCCGCCTGCTGGTAAGGACAGTTATTGCCACTCACGCATGCGCAGTTCGTACGTGCTCGGCTGAAGTCTTTGTGGTGTGTTCCAGTGCGACACATGGCCAAGACGCAGGAGAACTCGCCGATGCAACAGTCGATGTCGGCGAGTTCTCTGGTGACTGCCTGGTGTGTCAGGGCCTTTAGACCTCACAGCTGCCTTCGATACGATTGACCACTCCATTCTTATCTCTCGTCTAGAGCACTGTGTGGGCATCAGGGGCACTGCCAGTGGTTCCGGTCCTATCTGTCCCAGAGATCCTTCTCTGTTAGGCTTGGTGACTTTGCATCGTCTTCTGCCCCCCTATCCTGTGGAGTTCCCCAAGGTTCTATTTTGGGGCCCATTTTCTATTCTTTATACCTTCTCCCCCTTGGACTAATTTTAAGAAAACATGGCGTCTCCTACCACCTTTATGCGGACGACTCCCAAATATATCTACCCCTAAAAACAAACACCAGCTCTCCGATGCCCCTGGTTGACTGTCTTAATGACATAAAGGCCTGGATGGCGCTAAACTATTTAAATATAAATGAGAGCAAAACGGAGGTCATTGTGTTTGGGCCAAATGGCGATGTCCCTTCCATTGACCTGGGTTCCCTGCAACCGTATGCAAAACCCATGGTCACAAATCTTGGCGTCAAAATCGACAGTGCTTTAAAATGAGATAAACAGATATACTCTGTGGTTAAGTCCAATTTTTATCACTTGAGGCTCCTGTCCAAAATTAAACCGGTTTTATCCTTTTTAGACTTTGGCCCCTCAGTACATCTCCGACCTCCTACAGGTGTACACCCCCTCAAGGGCTTTGAGGTCGGCTGATCAGCTGCGACTGGTAGTCCCTAAAACAAAGAGAAAGACCAGGGGAGACCGAGCCTTCTCAACGGTAGCCCCCAGGCTCTGGAACGGCCTGCCCCCCCATGTCAAATTGTCCCCCACTCTTCAAACGTTTAAGTCCCGCCTAAAGACCCACCTCTTTTCCCTCGCTTTCGAGTCAGTCTGAGCTCTACCTATTTGTATGCTTTCTTGTCTGTCCATAGCCTTTATGTGTGCCTTGTATTTATTCTTATGTGTGCCTTTTATCTATTCTTGTAATATTATATTTTGTTATAATGATACTGTATGTTCGTTGTGAAGCACTTTGGCAAACCCTCTGTTTAAAAAAAATGTGCTATAGAAATAAAGTGGATTGGATTGGATTGAATCTGCCGCCATTATAACACCTTTGTGCCCGTATTTGGTAAAAACATCAGAATCAGGTTTTCAGAATCATATCATTTACCAAATAATTTCCTTTGGTGTAAAATAGTGCATATATAAACGCAATGAGAGGAATCGGTTGTTCGAAAAAAGAAAATGTAGGATTATTTTTTTATTTTATCTAAAATAAAATAGAAATAAAAAATGTTTACAACAAAAACAAACATATATATAAAACAATATGTACAAAGACAACATCACAAATGACTCTCAAAATAATTAAGCAATTAAATGAATAAATACAAATGTGTGCAGTATATCAGAATTTAAAGTGGAAAAGGTGTGCTGTTTGAATTCATTTTTCCGCCATCCATCTAGACGTAATTCCCCATGGACTTTTCATACTTTTTTTTAAATGTCACATTGACATACTGTAGGTATTTCTACCCTTTGCTATGACGCTTATATTTAGCTCAGGTGCCACCCATCTATCTTTGACCCTCACCTGTCTTTTTAAGGTCACATAAAAGCTTCACACTTTCTAAGGTATTGCTCTCTTTACTTTATTGCTCCAACAGCTAGCAGAAAGTGTGGAAGCCGGACCTCCAGCTCTCGAAGAATCAGAAGGACAAGCTGCAGAAAATCCCGTTCAAGCCACCGACTGATTTCAAGTTTTATAGAAGTATTCATTAGATTTTTTGGTATTCAAGAAAGTGACCCGGTTTGCCTGATTTAGGACATTAGATTATTGTCACAGATTATTGATTGTCCCCAAAACCCTTTTTTCTACAATTCCTGATTTCTAAATAAATATACTAACTTAAAAAAAACAATGACATTGTTGCCATTGTAGAGATCTCAAAATCTAGAAATATTATGTGACAAAATGTTTTGTGATTTAAATATTTTGTTATTATTATCATGTGTGTAGAATGGGTTAATATTCTGCCAAATGCAATTTATCTAAATATAAATAAAACCAAATATAAATGTGTAAGGATTCTTTATTTAGCTTGTTATTCAATTTATTTCCTGCTCCCTAATTTTATTGATTACAACTTGTCTGTCGATAAATTGATAACATTCAATGTTAAGTCTTTTTAATATCAGCGAATATACAAATAACCTAAACATATATATTTTTGTATATGATATAAAACACAAAAAGCAGGGAATCTCCTTATTTGAGAGGCGGAAATGTGCATTTGCTGCCAAACTTGCATGAACTTGACTTGTTAATCAACAAATCGTGAAGTTGCCAACAATCATCGTTGAACTTTATATTATTGGTTATGAAAAACACAATGTATTTTAAACTACTGTGAACTTGCTTGAGCTGTTGTAGTGTTATCACAAGCTTACGTTTGCTAACTAGCTTCTACTCGCCTGTGTTTGCTAATACTCAAGAAAGGCAGCCAACTTTTCATTACTCTTTACCTGGTGCAGTCTTAAATGCCTGTCCCAGTTAACAAAAACAAGCAAACTTAAAAAAGAAAAAAACGATTTCCTGTTGAAATATGGCTGAAACCACTCTTAGAGCCTCACCCCAATTTATCTGAATTAGATAATGGCTCATGGACACACTGTTTGCCTGGTCTCTGTAATGGAACAAGGGATCAAGAAACAAGTCAGTGGAGGCCGGAGTTTCAGACAAAGCACAAACCAACAGACTTCTACAAATATAGCATTTGGTTTTAGATATACCTTATAAAATTCACAATGTGTATATTCTTGTTTACATGCTTATCTACCTTTCCCATAGAATGTGGACAGTGATGGGAGGGTGACTTTAAAAATGTATGTTATTCTAATTGCTTATATTATAGCAATCTAATACAAATGTAACTATAAAAAAGTAATGTTATAACTTTCTGTTACTTTTGGATCACCTCAATATCAAATGCAATGCCAATGCATCTTTTACAAATGCTGTTTTAGTTTAGGGCATGAATTATAAGCAAACACAGTTTTTTTGTTTAATAAATCAGGTGTATATAAGAAGATATCAAAAAAACGTAGGCAATATGCCAACCTATGCCAAGTATTGGACAAAAGAATACTATTAGTGTGTTTGTGTGCATGTGCTTTTAAAATGCATTGTCACATTGACATCCTGCTAGCAATCCCCATTTTTCCAAAATGGGTAATGAGATTACGCCTTCTTTTTAATCTAACTGTAGAGGAATACAGGTCCCTTTTATTTCAATCCTAATCCCGAGCATGCATGTGAACGCTAACAGGCCACACTATTCCTTCTGTTGCATGTGAAAAATAATTGTGTTGTGTAAACGTTCTTACAGCTTGAGAGCAAATAGCAGTGCAGATGGTAAATAGGACTGCATCTGGATAAAGAAAGAGAAGGAACCAGCCAACCTCAAAAGCCCTTGTAGTATGGTCTGGAGACAGAGATTAATACATGTGCTGTGAATGATAAAGTGGACGCCCCAGATAAACTCCTTTCATGGACAGTAATCTGTGAATGCCAGTTATATAGTGTTCGTGTTGACGTCATTTTTGAAAAAATGTCCTCCCTTCAATTTACCGAAATGTTCTGTCAATTTGCAAGAGACGAATCACATTTACTGAATATTTTGTCTTAATGGCCACAATGTAAAAGACATTGTATTGAGAGGATTTCAACATTTGAATGTGTACATAATGAAAATGTTGAATGTATAACTTTATATTCTAGGGTTTGATCACATACATAATTGTATTAGACGGACATGACTGAAAAAGTAATGCAAACTATATAAAGGAGTTATGGTCGTCCGGAGTACATTATTTTAAAACCTGCTGACACTACAAACTCAGTATATAAATGCTATTATCTGAATATGAAAAGATTTTACCAAGTCATGTTGCTTTTAAAAAAAAAATAAAGGCTTATTGTTGCCTACCTAATTGTTCAATATATTACAATTGTTTTGCTTTATTGGTTATTTATTCAACTTCTAATTTTTCATACCTGTAGTAACTGACTTTTGTGACCATGCAGGAAACATGTTGTCAAGACAACATTTGAGGATCATCACCTTCAAACATGATTTGAGTAACTTAAATATGCTAATATGCAGAATGAACCATAACCAATCATAGGTTGAATACAATTACCTTTTCTCTGTCATGCTTTATTTACAAAAGCTACAACCACTTTTTTGTTCCTTTCTTTTTTTAAATGTACTAGCCCTCAATCAAATGCCAAAAAGTGATGTTTACAAAGACTACGATACCCAGAAACCAACGGGCTGGTTACGGCTCTACGTGCGTGCCCTCGTAGGGGAGCAGACACTGCACTGTGCGATCGAGAAGCCGGCCTCGGTGTTGGTTAGAGGTAAGTTTTTATTACTTAATTTTAATAAACAGTCTTGTGGTATAGTGAATGGAAACATGTGCGCAAACAAAACGCGCTAGTTAGGTCTGACATTTGAACAAATATGAGGAGGTATAAGTAGTTCAATTGGCTGGTGCTACCCGGTTAAGGGCTAGCGTCGGGCACGCCTATGTAGGGTAGCTGCTTCGGGGTTCCAGAGTTGTGTGCGCGGGCCCGGAGCAGTGAAGGAGACGGGTATTTTTAGCACCAGGGGAAGAGGCCAAAGACAGCCAGCCAATAATCTAACGCCTGGATATATAATGTATCTGACGTCTAACATTAGCTGACGGGGACACATGGTAAGTATATGAACTGTCCTCGCTAGCACAGGCTTAGTCAATGTTAGCAAACAAAACTGCCCACAAGCTAGTTGAAGCTAGTTAGCTTAACTAGCCATAACGCTACAAGAGCTTTTCCATTAGTAAACATTTTAAATAGGCTGATTTACACTAGCCTTGGGTATTTTTAAACATACCTATAAGGATGTATGACCCTTTGGTATGTATGGTATGTTGTTTTGACTCATTTTCAGAGCTCTCGGAGTGTTCCTGACAACAGTGTATCGTTATGTTTAAGCACATGACTGCTGTCAGTGTCACCCAAGCCCACAAACCAGTGCGGCTTGTCTGGCAAAACTCCGCTGGTTAATGTAGTTTACAGGTTTATGTTTTGCAGTGTGGTGTGGAGAATTTGATGGTGAACGTGTTTTGTTGTTTGTTTGTTTGTTTCTTGTTTTAAACTGTGGCATGAAGGAAGCAGTGACTTCTTACAGAAAACAAGTAAATCAAGTTTTCTTTCAAGCTGAGATAAATGTATGTGATTTCAGTCTGTTAATGCATTAATATCAACATGGCTTCATGTAAATTACTTGCTTTGAATTGAATGTAACTCTATTAACATTGTATTTAAGTAAAAAAGGTTTCTATAAGTGTTTCTAATCATAAAAGGCTATTGTCTGATATTAAGAGGTATCTATTGCAGAAATTGAATCTACAATCCATAGCTATCTTGTGTATAATCATCTGAAAAAGTCGTATAATGGTATGCATAATAAACATTTTTGTTAGTTGAGTATGTGGAAAAATAGTCAGTTTAGTACTTCAAAAAAGTAATGGTTTAGTATATCTAAAAATGTCTTAGTAAAGAAAAAATCAAAGTATAGTAAGTTGGGGGAAAAAGTCATAGTATGGTAGTTCAAAAGTAGTTGTAGTATAGCATCCATAAGAAACGTCATAAAAAGTAATAATATAGTATGTCAAAGAAGTGATAGCATAGTAGGTTGAAAATAAAAACATTAGTGTCCAAAAAGTCATGGTACAGTATGTCAAAAGGTCTTTCTGGTTTTGTTATCTTTTCAAGAATTGGTTCTTCATATCTACAAATGAGTCCTCTTCCACCGTTTCTACAGTAGATAATGATAGACAAATCAAACCCTGGCTCTAGATGAGCCTTCTTGTTTATATTTCACATTAAGCCCAATGTAGTTCTCTGACACGCCGAGGCAAAGCCAGTCGTCGCTGTATTTCTTTCCTGCTAAAGTAGTGTTATAGTAAGAATGGATCGAGCAGGGCGTGAGCAGAATGGTATTCAGTTGGTTGAAATCAGCAGCCATTACGCTAGATGCTTCCAAATCCTTCACGCACTCCCTTTAATAGAATCTTTACTTTTTATAATTGGGGTAGACAAAATATAAAATTAAAATAAACTGTCACACTTCCACTAGCTTTGAATAACAATAAAAGTTGTAATAAAAATATAAGTATTTTGCATTGTGCCTTTTTAATTACTCAAATACACTTACATGAATACATTTCATACAAGCATACCACAAACATGCATAGAGGGATAATAGGAAACACAAGATACAAGGAAATTAGCCGTAGCACATGAATCAAATCATTTTGAATACTGTCTTGACAGGATAAGGAGGCTCTCTGACCAGCTGCCTCTCCATGTTCCCAGTGTGTGTTGCAGGGTGATTCAGGATGGTGGACCAGCCTCTTTGGGAGCAGATAGGATCCAGCTTTGTGCAGCACTACTACCAGATGTTTGACTCTGACAGATCGCAACTCGGATCCATATATGTGAGTGTCACAGAACCTTGCTTTCATTCAGTTACAAGACGTCTCATGATTCAACTTTTTCGATTTCTAAATTCAACAAATACCTTATAAGATTGCTGGTACCTCCCTCCTTTACTAGATGCACACATCTAGTTGAAGGCAGCGTCTGCTTACATGGGAGTGTGGTCTGTTTGGACTCGCTTGATCAACAATGAATCATCATTAACAATATATCTGACACAAAATCTATGAATGTTATTTAGTTTTTAATTGTTTTCTTGGGGGTGGGTTGCTGTGTGTTTCCACAGTGTTGCTGCTTTCATTGGATTAATCAGTGTTGTGTATAATATTGTACAATCACAGATACATGATGGCAGATCTTTTAATCTGTAAAGTAAACTTAATCTCAGCAGTCTAGACTGGATCATTGTAATGGGCATTTGAAATTATTGGTTTATTATAACGTAAAAAAACACTGTGATTTTAGACCTTATAATTGAATCTTCAAATCTTTTGTTTATGATGGTAATTGTTAGATTGTTGGCCCTAAAGGGAATATATTTGGAATCATACATTAAATTGTGTCTACTTATTGACTTTTCTTTTTTTCTTTATTTGGCTGATGCCTAAATAAATACATAGACCTACTACTTTAGAGGAGTTAGTTTGGGCAGGAGCACAAGTCACGTAAAAATAAAACCATTTAACAGCAATGAATTAGTCACAGGGGTGTAACGGTACACATAAGTCACGGTCCGGTTAAGGACTCACGGTTTGGCACACCGGGCAAAAACACACATTTGTAAGGATATGTTTCTTTTCATTTACTATAAACAGACAGTAATGCATGTATCAAATACAGAAAGAAATCTCTTTCTGGGGACCGAGTCTGCATTTTGACGACTGACAACTTTGGTAAAAGAGAAATGTTTAAATTATAGAAATAAGGAACATTTAAAACACTTCTTTATTACTCTGTACGAACAGTGAACAAACACTTCTGCAGAAGGCCACAGGTCACACTGGACTAGGACACTGAAAAACATCTCTTATGCTATGACATGGAAAATACAAACTAAAACTTGACTTGAACACAACTCTCTCTGCGTCGTTGTTCTTGCTGACCACGAATTGTGTACACTAGTGTCATTTACTCACAGCCCAGACAGCTTTCTGTGCTAACCTTAACACCTGTTGCCTTCAGCGTACGGCTAGTATTGAATCCATTTTAGAACAATGTTTTTTTAGCTTTACTTGTGTATAAGTAGGTTGTAGGTTACACCAGGAAATTATACTTTCTGTATTTTAACTCAGTTTTACGCATCAAATAATCATCATAATCAATTAGATCTGTTGGCTACAGTGTAACTAAGAAAAACGACACAATGTAGTCATTGAGTGTCATAATAAATCCCATGTAAAAAATCCTTCTGACTCTCAAAACGACATAACTTAATTTTAAACAGATGGAACTTTGAGCTAAGGTAATATCATTAGAGTTATGTTATGTGACTTTTTTGGAAGCCCTTTCATCTGTAAATAGAATTGTGTGCAACTCATATTTTACCCATTTCTTTCTTGATCTATTTATCTTTGTCTCTTCACACAGATTGATGCATCATGCCTCACATGGGAAGGACAGCAGTTCCAAGGAAAAAGAGCGATTGTTGAAAAGCTCACTGTGAGTCTATAACTTAAGCTATATACAGTGTTGATGTGTAACAGGTGGTGTTTGGCCTAAGTACAAAACACACTGGTGAATGAGTGGTGCACGAATGAGTCCTTAAAGCTAGAAAAGAGTTAGCATTTTACCACTTCTGCTTTCCTCGTCTCGAAGCCAAAACTATTTTTAGTTTGACCCTGGAAATAAGATCTGTGGTTAACAAAAGCTTAAGGGATTTTCAATTTTGTTCTACGACATACAATCTGTCAGTAAATACACCACTTGTGAATGTCCGAAGCTTCTACAGTATGTGTCATTAAAACAGAGGCTGCTAACAAATGACACAACTAAACATCATCACGCTAAACATTAGCCGCCTTTAGCTTAGCGTCGGTGATGCAAAGCCATGTGACTGTGATGCAGTTCCTATATAGCCTAGCTTTTTACTTCTACTTTTAAGCTTCCAACATTTATACAATTGGTGTTAAAGGTGTGGGTGGGTGCTAGTGGAGCCTCGCAGCGGCGAAACTGTGGCGCGCTTACACTGTAGGTGCGCCGCGTTTGGGGGGGGGGGCCAACACATTTCAATAAATATTTGTCAATACTAAGAGCCGCCAGATTGTGCTGCTGTAATGGAATATGTAAGGAGAATAAAAACATACCATGTGGTCCAGCTGGAGTCTCATCTGCCTCCTGATCACTGCCTCTGTCCCTCTTTCTGACACCTCATCTTTATTCCTCACATACATTTCTTCTTATTCACTAATGTCTTCATCTCCTCCTCTTCCTCCTGCTCTGACCCTCCTGGTCTCTTCATCTCCTCCTCTTCCTCCTGCTCTGACCCTCCTGGTCTCTTCATCTCCTCCTCTTCCTCCTGCTCTGACCCTCCTGGTCTCTTCATCTCCTCCTCTTCCTCCTGCTCTGACCCTCCTGGTCTCTTCATCTCTCTTTTCCTTTTCCTCTTTCTGTTCATCCTGATCACTTCTCAGATATGTCTTTTTTTTATTGTTGAATCACTCCAGCTACTCTGGCCTGCAAGAGTCTACTTGTGAAAAGCACTGGTACAAATGCTTGTATAACTTTACACGTTATGGCCATGTAGCTGATAAGTAGCATAGCCTATAATAAATATAAATATAAAATCGTAGTATTTATCAAAGCACACAGGCAGCTGTGTTTAGATCCAGTTTGACGGTAAAGGATGTATCCTGGTTTAATGTATCAGCCTCATTGCTGTGATGTGTGAGAGTAATACGTGGATTTAATAGTACGCATAGTTTAGCAAATAAAGTGATCAATCTCCCAGCTAGCGCTGTCTGCGTAGTATTTTGTAACGTAACGTCCCAAACAGCGACCGTCTGTTAAACGCTATCGATTCAAACGGCAGCGCTTTATTAATATTTTGTTTCAAGCTCTCGTCCTTAGTAAAAACAAAACCAGTCGAAGGGGAAATGCTCCAAGGGGAAGCTGATCCACCCTCAGGTGCTGGGACAGCTCGGTCTCTCTGCAGCTCTGTGAGCCGCGGTCTGTGAACGCCGCTCCGCAGTTTAATGCAGGGCCGTAGCTGCGTTTTTAACGGGCCTAAGATGATATTTAAAATGATTCACTTTTAATTAATTAACTGCTTGTTTCATTGCTTGAGAAGCTTGTGGACATATAGCGCGTTCACACCGGAGTACTTTTCCCACAATAGTTCATCAGAACTCAGATATATTTGCGTTCATACCAAAAAGCCCCCTGAACTAAATTAGTTAATCAGAACCATTTTTACCCCCTTTTCAGTCCCTGCTAGAGAGCAGGGACTTTCGTGGGAGAAAAAGTTTCCTATTTCTGATTGGCTGGGCGGAATGCAAACCACGCCCCGTAAAACTCCCAAAAGGTTTTGTGAAGCCGCCATTTTATTATCCTCGCATTAGCATTATTAGCATTAGCATTAGCCCAGCGCACAAACGCAGAGAGACTAACTTATGGCAACACAAAAGAAAACATGGGAGCGGTGGAGATGAGGAGGTGTCGGCGTTCTGGCGATTTACTCGGAAGGCTTCAGTAGAAGCTGCTGGGAGTCCTAGCAGCTTCTACTGAAGTTCTCATGAACTGAGTTCTCATGAACTATAGTGGGAAAAGAACTTGGTGTGAACGCCCCAATAGTGTAGGTTTGTTTCTACAAGTACAGTTTTAGGGACACAAAAGTTAGGGGGGAAGCTGGGGGGGAAATGCTCTACAGTGGGGGGGCAGCCGCTAACTTTACATGCACTCAAGAAAGCAGGTTGTAGGTAATCGGAACCTATTTACATGCACTGTTGTAACCTGATTACTGCAAGTACCTGTGAAAGGAGCTATAATAAATAAACGTATTATTATTATTATAATTACCATGTAAACATACAGGAGCCAAGTAATGGTAAACCGATTCCTCCCCAACCTATTTAGGGTAGTAAAACCCCTAAGTACAATTGTATTGAGGATAATACTTGTTTTTCTTATATTTTATAAATACATTTCGATGAAAATAGCTCAAGATCTTAAGTAAATGTTTTGACTCCTATATTTTTGTGTGTTTTTCCTGTGTGTGCCAGGGTCTACCCTTCACAAAAATAGCGCATAGTATAACAGCGCAGGACCACCAGCCAACTCCAGACTGCTGCATCTTGAGTATGGTTGTAGGACAGCTAAAAGTAAGTAGCACTATCCTTTATACCTTATTTTAGAGCATGTTAAGCATGTCATTTGTTTCGCAATTTAATAATCACACATTGAATGCTAGGGAATGTATGTTTCATTTTTGTACCTGTGTTCCAATTATTTCTGTTGCCATACTATCAAACAGACAAACTATTAAGGTTCCTTTAAGAGAATACTCCACTTTTTCCACATATTGGGTAGTACTCCCCAACCCCTTTACACAATTTGAATATGTGACCCGTGCTATTGAAATCCTTCGAGATTTATGAGAAAAACTCATTTTTTGATCAGTTTAGGGTGTGGTTGTTTCTAAACAAAGTCTTGGCTTTCAGAATATCACATTTGTATTGTAATATTCAGACGATAAATATATAGTTTTGAGGCTTGCTCCGGACCTGGGGTGACAGGGCGTTCGCAGCAGCCTCCCCCACACTCTGGAACTCCCTCCCCAGCCACGTCAGATCCGCCAACACTCTCACATCATTCAAACAATCCCTCAAAACTCACCTTTTCACTCTTGCCTTCAACTCCTAATCAATTAACCCCTCGCCCTTATTCCACCTAGCTTAGCACTTTCTACTTTTGTTGTTATTTAGTTTTACTTGCTTGTAAGCGCTTTGAGCACCAGGAAAAGCGCTTTATAAATGTAATGTATTATTATTATTAAGATTTGTCAACTTGTCAAGGATCACATCTCCTCTCAGTCTGATCAGCACTGCTTCCCTCCCTCTCTACCTCTTCCCCCTACGTCACCCTGAAGTAAAGAATGACAGGCTGATAGTAACACGACAGGGCCCAGGACAGTGGCTATTGGCCTTAAAGGAGAGGTGTCATGCTTTTCCGGTTATTACCCGTCCCCTTGTGTGCTATGAAGGTTTTTATGCATGTAAACGGTGTGCAGAGTCACAAACCCTCAAAGTACACCCTGTAGCGAGTAAAACTCTAACACAGAAAATACCTCCCCAAAACGCCTCGTTGGAGATACGTCACTGCCCATTTGATTCTTCCGGGTACGGCATGATGTAATGCCGTACCCGGAACGAAATGGACCAATCCGTGGAGCCGTTACGTTACGTCCGTGGAACCGTTACGTTAAGCCCCCGCTGATTGGTCCAAATTGACCAATCCACGGACTTCCTCACACACACACACACACAGTGCAGGCAGCTCTGCTGATTTCTCCTCCCTGGCTGCAGGCTGATAACAGACAGTTGGGACAACGGCGAAATTCTCTCTGCAGACCCATTCTCACAGCGTTTATCAACCTTTTTCTTACTCAATATCAAGCCACACTTATTGTTTTTACTTCGGCTGTGAGTTTGTGTGTGCTCAGGATGAGTTTGGCTGTGTTTGGCTATGTATCCTAAACAAGGAAACAACACCTCCACGGAGCTCAGCGCGATTCACAACGTCCCGACCAATCAGAGCACACTGTGCTCACAGGGAGGGTGGGGGCTGGAGCTATTGGAGCTACAACGAGCCGTTAAAGGCAGAGAGTGAAATTCAGTGAATACACGTAGTTTACAGAGATGCTGTATGAGAAACCAATGTGAGTTTGGAAAATTGCACAGTATAAACCTATTCTAGTAGACCTCAACAATGGAATTATGATCAGTGGAAATGGCCATGACACCTCTCCTTTAAGAATATAAAAAACGAGTTGAAGCTTGTGAAGGTACAATAACGAGCGCTGAACGGGGCATCTTAGAGGCAGAGTCATTACAACAGGCGATGTGTGTTTTGTGTGTGTGAAAATACGCACACACACACTCAAGCACACTCACACAAAAATACACACTCAAGTTACTAAAAATCCTCTTCGTAATGGAAAGACTCGAAAGCTGATGCAATAACATGCTTGTCCTCAAGGAAGCTCACAATGTGTTTGCCTAGAGGAACGCACAGGATAACCATTAGGGCTGCTCAATCGTTGCAAAAATCCTAAATATGATAATTGACAATATTTACCATAATGACTTTGTAAACATCTTGTATTTAGAAATAACTTTTGTTTATCTCTAAGTGGTTGACCAATCACAACAGAGCCGGGCTGCTAACGAGCCAGACTGGGCTCTGGTTTCAGACAGAGGGTGAAAAGAGGTGCTGCAGCAGTAGACAGTAGAGGCACAAAATACAAATATGAACCTGAAAATGAGCATGAGCATGATAGGGCCCCTTTAACATGATCTGCTGCTAAATACAATCACTGTATTGCTGACTTTGTTCTGAACCCCGACTCTTTCTGTGTGTGTGTGTGTTTGCAGGCAGATGACGACCCCATCATGGGTTTCCACCAGAGTTTCATCCTGAAGAACATTAACGACGCGTGGGTGTGCACCAATGACATGTTCAGGCTGGCCATTCACAACTTTGGATAACTCCCCCTTCTCCACTCTGGTGGGCAGGGGCGGCCATAGTGAAGGGCATCACGTGATGAAGTACGGAGGGAGGGGAAGGGAGAGAGAAAGAGGGAACACTCGTCCCTCCCTCCTGCTCTCTCATTTACGCCTGCTTGACTAAACAAGCAAACACCGGATTCTAGATGTCAATCACTGAACCTCATCCAGGTGGTTTCTTTTTCAGACCACCACAGCCAGTAGAACTGCGACGCGTTTCTTTGCTCAGAGCCGGCGAACCAATCAGATGCCCCTGTCTGCCACTCCGCTGATCTGCATGGCCCTGGGAGCACCCCCCCCCCCTCCATTACAATATCCACCCTCAAACAGATGACCTCCCTGCTCTCCACCCTTCTTTACTAAATCCTTACCAACTCTACTGTTGACTGCACTCAGTTCTGCTAGCACTGTCATTGACCGGGTTGGAAATCCGTGTTCAGGTTCATCAGTTCTTGTGTTTTAAGTTGTTTTTAGATCCTACTTGTATGTTGCCTCATTGTGTTTAACTTCCAATTATTAACTTTGCCATGAGTCGCTGTCATGCCAGGTTTTGCTCTTGCAAACCAAAGAAACATGGAGGACATAAAGTCTCACCATGCTGTGTGATTGGCTCCTGCATTTCCCCTCTTTTTCTCCATCTCTCTTGCTCTCTCTGTCTCTCACACGTCTGGCATTTAACATGGACAACAGCCGCCATAGACAATAAAACCTGGACTTTTTTCTTAACGGTGTCTCTTCATATCATTCTCTACAGCTGATTGATTTCCAAATCGTTCACTTACCCCTCCACAGTAAGTCTTATTGAAAGTATTTAAAGCTGGAGAAGGCAGTATATTTATGCCTCACTGGGCAAGAATTGCAAAATGACCTTTTGGAATATTGTAATTCAAGTAGAGAGAAAAGGAGACTTTAGCAAATCGTAACAAGAGAATTTAGCCAATCAGAATCACAAATAAACTGCCTCCCCCAGCTTTGAGTGCATCTGATTTTGGCTTTTTGCAAATGAGTCGCCTTACTCCAGAGGATCAGCTGGACAATTAACAATTTCTCATTTATATCTATTGTGATCCAATTGACTGAAATGTTCAAATAAATGCCAAACCGTAATTATGTAGATACTGACCTTATTAAGTGGACCGTGTGTCGGACAGATCTGACCAGGCCATCTAACTACTATTTGTCACTCTATTACCCAGGTATGAGTTGCATTCATAGTCATGACTCAGTGTTGCCTTACATGGAAATGAAACAAATGAGTTTCATATAGTGAAGTACACAGATTTGAAACTTGAGAATAAAATTGCTTTAATTATAGATCTGTGCTCAGTATCATAAGATGCCATGAGTCACTGTTTCAGGCAAAAATAACTAAGGCTGCATGATTTGTTAAAAAGATCTAATTGCAATTATTCTGACTGATATTGCATATGCGATACACAATGTTTGAGGAAATGATCATTATTGCACCATTATTCTCATTTCCTTTGCGAAAGTCTCAAGAATAAAAATACAAGTTTTCAGAATGTGACGCACCACTTCAATACTCAGAATAATACAGAAATGGTATATCTTGCTTTAACCAATATTGCGCTTCCTGCAATTATGATATTGCACTAGCCCATATTGCGGCATCTGTGAAATCACAGACCTAGAAAAAACACTGGATGGTTAATCCCTATAGTCAAGGGTAGCTGTAACCAAATATTCTAAAAGGTGCTACTAGGGTTTATCCCCTACAGCGGTTGACACCGTACAGCCAATATGAAAGCAAATTCATTTGATATGTGAAGAAAGCGTCAAGCAATGATGAGCATGGAAATACTCAAGTAAAGTACAAGTAACTCAACATGTTAAGTACAGTAAAGTAAATGTACTTCCCACCTCTGGTGTCAAGATAGGATTGCAGAGGACGTCATAAATAAAAATCATGGATCACAACAAACATTCGGCAGATGTTCCAGGAAGAGAAGCATGTATCTCAACTGTTTCCATAGTGACAGCTTGACCTGATATATATTTGGTGCCATTGCTAAACCAGCACATAAGAAGACAATAGGGTTGGGCACAAGTGTCATCACTGTATCCTCTCATGTTTCACAGTCTTGTGTAATCAGCTTAATATCCAAATGAATCAATAGGAGAATTACACGTGGCCGCCAAGGTGTAGCTCTGTGAACAGTAATGTTAGAAATGGGTCTAGGTGCAGCTGTGTTGATTCAGGTCAAAACTGGCTGACATTTGACATACAATTTTGTAACATCAACTAAACGGCGTACAACTAATTTCCAAGAAGGAACACCGAATATAAATTAAAATAAAATATATGTAAATACCAGCAATCAAAGCACACAATATCTTACTAATTGGAACATTTAAAAGGGAGAAAAGTCAGTGTTTTATTAGCTGCCTCAAAACATTCAGGATTTGGAGAGGATCTTCAGAGAGGAGTGGACCACAATCCCGAAATGTTCAGCATCTGACCTCTGTGCTGTCCAACAAGGGTTTCTCCACCAAGTACTAACACATGTTTTGCAAGGGGATCAAATACTTATTTCCCACAGTTAAATGCAAATCAATTTTTATCTTTTATATAATGTCTATTTCTGGATTTTCTTCTTTTGATATTCTTACTCTCACTGTTAAAATAAACCTACCATTACAATTATAGACTGTTCATTTCTTTGTAAGTGGGCAAACTTACTAAATCTGCAAGGGATCAATACGTATTTCCTCCACTGTATAATGTAATCAGGACACCAAAAAAAGGTAACTGTATTCCCTTACAGTTACATTAAATAATGTAATCAGATTGCTGTTACATTTTTTTGGATTACGCGTAACTAGTAATTGTGACATATATCAATTTTAAAGTCTCCTTCTCAACCCTGACCATTATATACAAATGTATGAAACACCATGTAATAAATGTATTAAATAACAATGCATAACTATCCTGAACAGGTCAAGAGAAGAAGCTATCAAAGTTGAAGACAATGTCAGTGGAGAATACTTTAATTAAATGTATTATGTCAACAGATTTCCTGTAACTGTATTAGGTTAGTTTAAAGTAATACTATTACATTTGAATAAAAAATATTACGTTCAACTTAATATTATTTCTTTCAACTAACCTCATACAGGAGTTTATACCTTATGACAAACCATATTCAATAATGGGAATAACATTTTCAGGGTTAACACAAGTGCATTAACTAAAGTATTGATGCACATTTATACTTATACTACATTTCATTTCAAAGGGAAATACTGTACTTTTTACTTCTCTATCTTTATTTTAGAGCTTATTTGCCAGTTTAAACATTAAAAATAATAATAAACTAGCCAGAGACAGCTTATTTAAATAATCAACTCGTCGATTGAGACCATATACAGTCTATGATTGAGACATACAAATCTAATCTAACATTTAAGTCATTTTCTTAATTATTTATAATAATTGTTTGTTTGACTGTTTTTTTTCTTTGTTTTTTCTTTTTCTTTCTGCATTGGTTGCTTTTACGTTTGTTGGTTTTCCAATGAACAGAAAACCATACCGTTTTTATTTTTTAAGTGGTATTAGTTTCTTTGGGAGGGGTGGTTATCTATTATGTATTGACTTTGAGGACCCCTGTCTGCGATATGGTTGGTCATTCTGGTAAGTCAAACCACGTCCAATCACTCTCTCATATAGTTAAAGATGTATGAATACAACATTCACGTCGAAAGAGTCAGAGTGACAGATTTTTGGAAGAAAGCCAGTGCCCTCTTGTGTACAATAAACCTAAAGAAGTTGAGGTAGGAACCAATGACCTGACGCAGGCACGAGTCGGAGCGTAAGGCGCGGACATAACGGAAGTTTAGACGGTTGCTCTGGGTGAACGAAAGGAACACTGACAGCATCGTATCAAAAACGAAATTATCATCTCCCCCTAAATTAACCCAGTTTCCCCTTTCCCTTACACATGGCGTCCAATTCTAATATAGATATTGAGGGTGCAACCCAGCATCTCCGGGACATTCTAAAGCTCGACCGTCCCGGGAACAGCACCGGTAAGTGGCACCGGGAATGAAAAGCGGCTGCGCTGGTTTAGGCCGCAGAAGCTAATGTAATGCTAAACTAGCTAGCTAGCTAGCTAGCTAGCTAAGAGCTAAATAGGTATTTAGCTAGCGTGAGTTGAGTTTAGCGCGCTACTATGGAGTAAAGTTAGCCAAGCAGCAGTTTCACTACCCGGTAACGAAAGCAACCCCATCGTGTGAAATCTGCATTTTGTTGTAAATAAAATAACACATGCATTGTATTACTAATTTCCGCAGAGAAAATAATATGCCAAGGCTTTTTGCGTAATGTTAGAGCGCTAACTGCGGCGGAAATGTCTCAAGTATTTTATCGTCCCAAGTATTAGCTTTGTAACGAGCTAGCTTATGTCTCTCTATTTTCTGGTGTAGGAAAGCTGTCTCTTTTGCTTTCCAAGTGACGAAAAAGTAAAACATCTTTCTTTAATCGAAAATATATGTGTAGCACTTTCTCAATTTGTGATTGAAAAGCCGTAAACTGAGGTGTAACGTTATGTTTAAGACCGCATTGTTTAGCGAGAATTATTTCACTGCTAACGTAATCAAGAATTAGCTTAAGCTCCAACTGCGTAGAAGGTCGGTTTAGTTGACCAATTTTAATACACTCGTTGATTTAAGGTTTGTTTGTGGTACCCGCAGCCCAGTAATATTTGGTTGTTTAGAAGCTCACTCCTGTCTGAAGACACTACTTGATTTTTGGAGGGTGAATAGCAAATAAACAGGTTTGCTAAGGTGTAAACAGTATTCTGCGGGTCTACTAACGTTATATCTGTTTGGCAAAATACACAATATTCACATAGCTACACATAATGTTTTAATCTTCGCAGGAGCAGAAACTATTCATACTTGGAACATATATCAATCAATCTTTATTTCAGACTCAAGGTCCATATCACATACAAAATACTATTATTTTCTCGTGACTAAAGGCAACTTTTATTATGCAGATGATTTAGTCAGACAGCAAATGTCTATTTCTTGATGCCTATATATCTGTTTCACAGCAGACACGTTGATTTGTCATTACAGGTGAAATTGATTACAGTAATCATGGCTCTGTTTAACTGTATTGTAGCCCAGAAAGTAATGGCTGTGAGCCAGCATGCACATTAGCAGGGCTTATTATTATATTAATGGTAAAAGCCCCCTGCAGTTTTCCTGATCTAAAGTTTAAAAATGTGTATGAAAAAATAATTGTGCTACATGGCTACAGTGTTCTTAATATAGTTCGCTATCTGTGTACTTTTTTTACATTTTTGTTTTTTAAATGTTACACCATGACATTAAGTAAAATCCTCGTACGTGTGAACCTACCTGGCAATAAACCCGATTCTGATTCTGGGGGGTATTGCTTGATGTCTGAAAGGGGGAAGGGTTTAGTAAACATCTTGCAGGCACCATGAAGAATGCTCTTTCAGTGTTAATATGTTACTGTATATCCAAATATTTAAATATATTCAATAAAAACGTGCTAAACAATGTAATAACACTACACACATTATGAAGTTATGTAATTAGGATACAGATTATCCTTTCTTTTTTATATCTTTGTGTATAACAGAACCACTTTTAAATTTGAATGACAGATGACATGGGCACATTTTTTATTAAGTACATTTCCCTGGAATATTTATATAATCTGTATCATACTT